CTTGAATCCCTCAAGAGTCATGCTGATAAGAATGCAGCTAAAGTGAACGCTTCAGTTGACTCTTTATCAAAGTCACTTCAAGAGGAGCAAGCCAAATTTGAGAATGTTCGTTCTTCAATTCAAGCTGAGAGCACTTCTCTTCTAAGCTCAGTGAATTCTCGCATTGAAACACTCCATGCTAATTTAGCAAAGGAGAGCGCCTTAAGGGAGGATCTTGCCCGTCAAACCTCTACCATTGAAGTTCAGAAGGTTCAATTGGCTCAAGCTGAGAGGGAGATTTCATTGTTGAAGACAGAGCGTGCTGTTTTCTGGAGTTGTGCTGGTGATGTTCAGAATATGCTAAACAATGTTCTTAGTGCTCATGATCCGATTCTTACGCTGACCAACCGGACTCACTTGACTTCCAAGCTTCTTCCTGCCCTTGCACTTTTACATGGAATAAAGGGTGTTTTGGAGCGATTTGTACCTCCAAAACAAGGGGAGAAGGTGTTCAGACAACTCAACCGAAAGTCACTGTCAAAACAGAACCGAAGGGTAATGAAGCTTCGGGTTCTGGAAATCAAGATAAGAAGAAGGGACTTGCTGATGATAGTGATGAAGAAGAAACAATTATCGAAGCCCTGAAACAAAAGAAAAGGGATTAGGAATTGGATGAAACCCTTGGGGTTGCAAAGGAAGCAGAAGAGAGGGAGCGAAAGAACAAGGAAGAGCAAGATGCCTTAGTTTGCAAAAAGGCCTTGTTTCCTCCTTGGACTAAGGAAACGCTCATCAAAGAAGCGATAGAGTTTCCTAGCGTGTACTGGCTGGAACCTGTAGCTTCATTTGATTTCGAGAATTCGAGGGACTCACAGTTTGATATGCCTATAACACGAAAGGCATTCACTTTTCATTGCTTTGATTCGACTGTTCTAGTTCCCTCACCTCCCCCTCAGGTTGATCGTGAACTAATCGATTTTTATCTCAAGTTCGGTCAGCCTCAGTACCTGACTTGGAGTGCTCAAAAGATTACAACTGTCAAGGTGCTGAAACCTTCGCCTGCAGGGAAGTTTATTAATGTCAATTTCAAAATAACCCGAGGTTCAGACAACTAGATTTCTGCTATTTCCCTGGCAGATCTTCCAAACTTGAATCCTCATGATTGGATCTTGTTGTTCAACATATTGCTCACAAATGCGAAAGAATATGAGCCGATCCTAGATCATCTGAAGAGGATGTTGGCCTCCTATATCCATGAAGTTGCTGCAATGGATCAGGAGATTGCTAAAGTTTTGAAGAAGAAACCAACAATAAAGCCAACTGCAAAACCTGGAGATGTGAACAAAATGAAGATGGGTCAAATTGATTCTAAACATCTCACGGTGATGTTCACAAGAGGCGAAGCCAACAAATTTCTTTTCACTCTTGTTGATAAGCATCTGTTCTTAACGGACTGCTTAGAGCAAATAATTAATATCATCCATCGATGCAAGCAGAACACTGAGGCAGACAAGAAGAACTTCACGGACATGCTTCGGTGGTATATCACTTTTCATCATACTCTACTGGCCATTATACCGAAGGTGTTCAAGACTGTCAAGAAGTCTTCTATAGCTCAACCGAACTGAGCTTTCGGCTCCATTGACGCAAAGGGGGAGATTGTTAGGTATTTTATGTTGCGTCATGGGCTTAGTTTTGTATATCCGGATTGGGCCTGTCCATCCGTGATTATTAAGTAGGGTTAAGCTATAAATAGTGCATGCATGTATGCCTTAGATACGGTCGTAATTATTATTATTATTGCTTGGTAACCCTAAACACCTCTACAATCGAAGTTCTTAACCAAGCTCTTCTGAGGTGTTGAAGCTTAATCATTCGACATCAGTTAAACCATTCCTGTGTTCTTCATTACGTCATTTATTGTTTTTCTGCTTAGAATCTATCGATCCTACTAGAACTTTGTTCTAACACAACCCATGAAGCCATATAAAAAGATGCCCTTCGATACTTCTCTATAAGTATTCAATTGTACTTTACGGGAAACCACACAAGCTGTTGATTATCTCTCTTGATAATTAGCGAAGTGATCTTTGCCTGGGATCCAACTGCCTTTATGTCGAAATTTTTATTTTCGACATCACAGAATAAAAAAAAAATTATTTTGTTTCTTATCTTATTCATTGGTACACATTGCACTCACGAAATCCTTAAGGTTCTGAGTAATACCAACTCAGGCTAAAGATTTCGCAAGTCTGGCACATGACTTCGCTTTTCAACCCAAAAGTGAAAGAGCCCTACCTCAATTCTGAAGGTCTTTGACGGTTCTTATCCACTGGGTACCATCGAAACGACATCTTATGTGACGGTTTGGTTACTGTGCGATTTTCTAGGCAAAAGTACTCATCACTTTTTTCTGACATGGCGTGATTTCCGGCGACTGGTATGATTTTCAAGGAGAAACGTGGCAACCTATTAATGACAACCGTTTGGAATTCAAATTGCGGATATGTATAAAACAAGAATTGGGGATTTCATTCCAAGTTTACGCTAACAATTTGATTCTCAGGCGATTTGTGATCTTTCTCTTACTGTTCTTCACGTTCTTCTCCAAACCCTAACAATGGCTGCTCATCAATCGCAAACCACTAAAGATGTTGTTTATTCTCAACCTATTATGAAGATCCAAAGTACCAACTTACAGGTTCAAAGTGATGTATCTGTTTATCATGATAAATTGAAGATGCTCGTTGTTGCTCTTCAAAACTCTGTTCTCTCCAAGTCGATGTTCAAATCTTTTTCCGTACCTCTTTCTTGGCTATCTCTTGCTGGTTCAACGGCTACATACAGCAAGACGATGAACGCACTCACTTTTCAACTGATGAATGAAAAGAAATTCCGACTGTCGAAAACGAATTTTGCTCAAATTCTTAGTATTCCAAATGTTGAACCCTTCTTTAAGGTCACAAATGAACAAATCATTCGTATGTTCAACGAGATGGGTTATCAACCTCCTCTCACCAAAATCAGTGAGTTTAAGAAGTCTAGATTACCATGTTTGTGGAATTTTTTCTTTGGGATATACCTTCGTTGTCTAACTGGAAGAACAGTTGGGTTAGACAAAGGAAGATTGGAGGTTTATGCTATGGTTGCTGGTTTGTACTATGGTTTACAGGTGGACTATGCAACTCAACTTTGGAATGAGTTTGTGAAAAATGTTCTAAACAAAAATGTTGTTGATGGAATTTCGTGTGCTAGATACTGGAGCATCATTCTCCAATATGCTTATGAGAAGGAGGGTATTCCAGTTCCCGAGGGTGAAGAAACTGTTGAGTTTTCACTATTTCATTTTCCTAAAACAGTTGAAGATGATGTCGGAGTTTTTCCAACTATTGCTAGGATTCCAGATGCAATGCTTCAAAAGGTTGATCCTGCTAATCCTGTCTTGGTGAATTACTTGAAGACGATCAATCCGGATATTGAAACTGGGGTTTTGTTGACAAAGACAAGTGAAGGTCCTTCGAAGAAGAAAAGAGGATCAAAGAATGATGTTCAGCCTAGTCCTTCGAAAGTCAGTCCAGTTGAAAAAGTAGATAAGTCTCCAAAGAAAGTTGTTGTACGAGCAGAATCTTCGAAGAAAAGATCAAAGCCTATTGTTCAAGAAACTGTTCTTCCTTCGAAGGAGGTGGTACCTTCGAAATCGGGAGTATTGAAGAGACTCAAGAAAATGACTCACAAATCTCGCCATTCTCCTGAAAGATCCGGTAGTTTTTCGCCATCCTTTATTTGCAAGCCTCAATTGGGTCGAAAGGGTGTTGTAATTCGTGAAATACCCACACATGTTTCTCCACAATCGAAGAAAAGGAGAGCAAAGGATACGGCTAAGAAGATTTCAAAGAAACAAAGGAAGCAGAGGAAATTAATCATTCAATATTATTCAATGGATGATGAGGTTGTACCAGAATCTCCATTTAACAATGATCAGATGGGCAATTCTTCTCCTGTGAGGGATTCTCCAGTTAAGTCGAATTTCGAGGAGACTGGAAATCCTGACGGCACTGTGAAGACTTCTACAGTGGACACAACCATCAATCAAAGTGAACAACCAAAGGTTTCGAGTCCTGAGCAGACGACTGTCATACCACCCAAAGTTTCGACTATCGAATCATTTCATGAGGAGATTCGAACTTCAGGCATCAGTGCACACGTATATGATACATATGCAAATGTCAACAAGGGTGATGGAGTATCGACAAATGAAGCCCAAGGTAATCCTTCACTTGTTTTATCATCTACTTTCGACACCTCTATTATTGATACTTCAATTTCATTACCACCATACATTGTTCCGAATACATCTCATATCCCTTCATCTACTCATTCTCCCACATTCGAAAACATCATGCAACAACCTATTACTTCATTATTCCCATCTCAATTCACCGAAGAACCCCGAACTGTTCATGATGATGAAACAGATGATGGAGGATTTGTAGGCTCGTTTGCTGACATCGAATTTGATCCTGAAGAGGAAAATATTTCTGATCATATGTTTATGTCTGGTAAACAGTTCAAGATTCTGAACCGCAAGCTTAACTCCTTACTCCAACTTCAAGCTGATGCAGGGGGTTAACATTCAGTTTCTGGTTTTGAAGTTGATTTCATGTTAAAATCACAAGAGCTTCGTCTTCTCAACAAACTCGATCAGGTTGACAAGAAAAATGAATTAAGGGTCAAAGTTCAATCAGAGACCTTTAATGGCGAATTGAAAGAATTGAAAATTGTTGCGAAGCTACATCATGTTCTTTTTGTTCAGGATGTAAAGACTGTCAGAGAAGATGTCAATCGCAAAATTGAAGAGTTATGCTCAGACATGGAAAAGGAGATCACCAACTTGACAACTAATCATTCTTCTCTTCTCACGAAGGTCGATATAATTGCTGGTGCAGTAATAAAAATTGTTGAGTATTACCATTCTATTGATTCAAACAAGGCTTCTTCAAACAGGGCTTATTGCTATTGATTCAATGATTCCGATAGGACGTGGTCAGCGAGAATTAATTATTGGGGACAGGCAAACCGGTAAAACAACAGTAGCAACAGATACAATTCTAAATCAACAAGGCAAAAATGTAATATGCGTTTATGTAGCTATTGGTCAAAAAACATCTTCTGTGGCTCAGGTAGTGACTAATTTCCAAGAAAGGGGCGCGATGGAATATACCATTGTGGTAGCCGAAACGGCGGATTCCCCTGCTACATTACAATACCTCGCTCCTTATACAGGAGCAGCTCTGGCTGAATATTTTATGTACCATGAACGACACACTTCAATCATTTATGATGATCTCTCTAAACAAGCCCAAGCTTATCGCCAAATGTCTCTTCTATTACGAAGACCGCCTAGGCGCGAAGCGTATCCAGGGGATGTTTTTTATTTACATTCACGCCTTTTGGAAAGAGGTCTCTAAGGCAAAGTCTCGCTTAATCGTTCATCGATCTTTTTCTGTAAGGCCTCGAGCCCCACGAATTCCGATTTCTGTTTTTGTTTGTATTAAAGTGTTGGTAGCTTCTAGCCTCGAGCTGGAAAGTCTCATCGGCGGGGGTACTATAGATATATCATGGGTACTATAGATATATCATAACTCTCTAATTGAGACTCAATCTATACAATCAATCAATCAGTATGTGCAATATACCGGTCTACAATTTTAAATTTTGTTGCATAAAAAAATCTGCTAAAAATAAACAATCCGTACTAGCTTTTATTTGAGAAATTGACCCATCTTACTTTCCAAAAACATTATCTTTTTGGATTAGATTTCCACATGATTCGGATTTCCCGCGGCAAAAGATAAAGTAATCCTTCCATATGTTTGAAAAAAGATCATAGTCCTTCTTTGAAAATTTGCATTACAAAATTATATTATTTAATATTATTTTTTTGGACAATAGGTAATCTCAAAATTGAAACTTACCGGATTCAAGCTTGGATAAAATTCATTTCGAAATTATTAGTCCTCAAGTGATCAACTTAACGGTGATAATATTATGGGATATTTAAAAAACCTACCATCATAATGAACTAATAGATGTTTTTAAAAAATATCATTCATTTCGAAATGGTCTATTTCTGACTGTCAAGATTTTGTACACGATTAGATCTAAGGGATCAAAAATAGAACACTTCAAGACTACGAAATTATTAGTCCCCAAGTGATCAACTTAACGGTGATAATATTATGGGATATTTAAAAAACCTACCATCATAATGAACTAATAGTATAAAATATCATTTTTTTTTCTATGTTTAAAAAAAATATCATTCGGTCCGAAATGGTCTATTTTTGACTATCAAGATTTTGTACACGATTAGATCTAATGGATCCAAAATAGAACACTTCAAGACTATTAGTGCATTTTGCCATTTTGGAACTAATTCAAAAAATAATTCTACCTACTTCCGGTCTTAATTATTTCTCACTTACCACCAAATTTAAATAATCTGAAAATATGTTAAAACCATAACATGATGGGATAAAGCATGATTAATCTTAGTTAATGACAAGTAAGTAAATACGGAAGATATAAACTTATAATGAAAGACCAAATGTGTAAGTAAATACACATGACAAACGAAGAACAATCTTATATTTCAGTGAAGATTGTCTAGAAAGATGATGAAAGGTACAAGAAGAAACTACAACCATGTTCTCCTTTTATAGACATGATGAAGGATAATCTTGTAAATAACAACTAACACACGATTGTGATAAGATTTACTAAAGCAGTTAAGGATTGATAATCATTACAAAATGGTAGTTAATAATTGCTATCACCAAAAGACAAAATACAAAAGTCAACTTCTTCTGATGCTCTCCTACGAATGATATCTTTCTTCGGACATTTCTATTCTTCGATCAGAAGCTTACAGATGGATTTCTACGGAGGGTTAGTTTCAGGTTCAACAATCTTCCATAAGTGATCGTGGCTGCTTTTGCTCTAGATATCCTGAGTGTTGTTCAAGAAATCAATTGTCGTTCGGAAGAACCTTTTGACAACAAATGAAACATCCCAAAAATACCACCCAAAAATTTCGTTTAAAAACAATATTAAAACCATCGTTTCATTACCAAAGTGTCAAAATCATAAAATATGAGTTCAAATTTCCATAATATCCATCACATGACAAATCTCATGTCAAATATCATTTCAAAAATATCAAAGTAAAACTCCCAGGCTGAAGACTGTGGTGTGTGTCATGCGATCATCCCGAGCCCTTCCCTTTGCTAGTGGAAGTACCTGAAACCAAAATTGAAAACTGTAAGCACAAAGCTTAGTGAGCTCCCCCAAACTACCACATACCATACAATAACACATAAAGCACATATTGGGCCTTGCCCACTGCATCAGACCGAAGTCCGGAATAACTTGGGCCTTGCCCACTGCATCAGACCGAAGTTCAGAATAACTTGGGCCTTGCCACTGCATCGGACCGAAGTCCGAAATAACTCGGGCCTTGCCCACTGCATCAGACCGAAGTCCGGAATAACTGAACATAACATATACATAAACATGTAACATAAACATATAACTACTGCATCGGGCTTTCCCGGCATCGGACCGAAGTCCGGAACACAAAGCACATAACATAAACATGCATGAATCACAAAGACATCAGGCATACATACTACTTCTCGGAATCACCCCGGCATCAGACCAAAATCCGGAACTACTATATCTAAACGGGCGGACATTGTGGCCGTAGACCCGTTCCTAAATGAGGAAACTCACCTCACATAACTGGCTGCTGAACACTAAGTGGAAATATCTGACTGCTGCTCCGGCGACTCTCCGGCTATAATTTCCACAATGACACTTAGTCAGAAACCGACAACTATCCTTAGGGTATAGTTTAGTAAGAACTCGACGAGTTCTCCTTCAACTAAAACCTTGGGACAATCTTCATCTGACTCGCCGAGTTCCTCCTTAACTCGTCGAGTTTATCTTCATCTTATGAACGTGTCTAGTCTTTGACTCACCGAGTTGTATGAACAACTCGTCGAGTCCGTCTTCATGAGTTGGGAGATGGCCTTGGACTCGCCGAGTACGTTCCTGCACTCGCCGAGTCCCATGGTTTCCAGATCCATGTCTTTGTCCATTTCATTGAGTCCCTTCCTTGGACTCATCCAAATCCCTTCTGAACTAAAATGGGTTCCTCTGAGTCATGACAGATTTGGGAACCAACTCACGACTCGCCGAGTCCCAAGAACGACTCGCCGAGTCCATGCATGTCCAAGTCTAATAATTCGATTTTTGATGTGCAAAACTCATCCAGAAAGTAGATCTAGGCTCCTAAGATCGGTATAACATGTAAAGCCATGAACTTTACGTTCATGCATGGGACTTTTATGCTCAAAGCACCAAAAATGGGGTTTATTTCATTCTTGGGGTTCTCATGGCCATAAAGATGGCACCTTTATGCCATGAGGACCCTCCAAGGTTCCAGATCTGTGTGTAAATCGACTTGGGACGTCCAAGTCCCAAGGATCAAGCTCCTTGGACCCAAAACCTCATAAAGATGACCACAAGGAGATCTAAGAAACTACAAGTTAAGTATGAGGCTTGCTCAGGAGTTTTTGACATTGAGACAGGATGGGGAGTCAGTGATGGAGATCACTCGTAAGTTCACGGAGAGGGCTATGTTCTGCCTGGAGTTTGCTTCAGAGCAGTCTCAGATGACTCGTTATCTGAGTATGCTCAAGACTGATATTCGACAGTTTGTTGCTACGCAACGTTGTGAGACTCTTTTGGATCTTCAGGAAGCCGCGAGGCGGCGCGAGTTGGAGATAGAGCTGCAGTTGAAGGAGCAGCGTCAGGTTCCGGCACAGTCTCAGCCGGCACCTAAGCGGTCCAAGACCACTGATACTCGGACCGGGGGTCAGCAGAGCCGCACTTGTGGAAAGTGTGGCAGGGGTCATTCTAGGATTTGTCGAGCAGGAGGTGGTTGCCACAAATGTGGCAAGGAGGGGAACTATGCCAGGGACTGTCGCCAGTCCACCCCTCCCGCAGATATGAGGATTTCTTATCATTGTCATCAGGTTGGTCACGTGAAGACCAACTGCCCGCAGCTCGCCGCCAAGCCGGCGCAAGGATCCACACCGGCTACTTTGAGGATTGGGGATGGGAGGCCAGTCAAGGCGGAGCCTCCGAAGGTTTAGGGGCGCGCCTTCCAGCTCACGGCCGAGGAGGCCAGGGCAGCACCGGATGTAGTTGCTGGTATGTTTCTATTTTTGTTTCAGTCATTTTATCTATGTTGTGCTTATCGTTGGTACCTGTGTTTAGGTACGTTTTTAGTAAACTCTTTGCCTGCATTGGTTTTATTTGACTCGGGGGCGAGTCGTTCGTTTGTATCTCAGACTTTCAGTAGAGAGTTCAGTGTGTCGGTAGATGAGCTTGAGTGTCCGTTGCGAGTTTCGATCGCCAACGAGCACGAGATTTCTGCTTCTTCGGTTTACCGGGGATGCGAGCTGGAGATTTTCGGGGTATCATTCCCGATAGATTTGATTCCTATTCCCATGGGGGAAGTATGTGTGATCGTAGGGATGGATTGGCTCAGCCGGTTTGGCGCCATGATCGACTGTGAGGGACAACGAGTAGTAGTTCGAACCCCAAGTGGGGGAGAACTGGTGGTATATGGTGAGGGCACCAGAGTAGGATCAGGGTTTTCTTTGGCCGCCAGGGCTCGGCAGTATATTCAGCACGGATGTGCAGGTCATTTAGCGTGTGTGGTGGACACGCGGGGTGGTTAGAGAGTTTGCTGATGTGTTTCCAGAGGAGTTACCTGGAGTGCCTCCAGAGAGGCAGGTGGAGTTCAGGATTGATCTGGTGCCGGGTGCGGCCCCTATCGCTAAGGCGTCGTACCGACTGGCACCGCCAGAGATGCAGGAGTTGTAATCTCCGTTGTAGGTGCTGCTGGGTAAGCAGTTTATTCGTCCGAGTAGTTCCCCATGGGGAGCACCGATCCTCTTCGTCAGGAAGAAAGACGGTTCGCACAGGATGTGCATCGACTACAGGGAGTTGAACAAGCTAACGGTGAAGAACCGTTATCCACTCCCAAGGATAGATGATCTTTTCGATCAGCTGCAGGGTGTATCTTGGTTTTCCAAGATCGACTTGAGATCCGGGTATCACCAGGTCAGGGTGAGGGAGGAAGACGTGGAGAAGACCGCATTTCGGACTCGTTATGGTCATTATGAGTTTGTGGTGATGCCGTTTGGGCTCACCAACGCGCCGGCAGTATTCATAGATTTGATGAATCGGGTCTGCAGACCGATGCTCGATTGCTCGGTCATTGTGTTCATAGATGATATCTTGGTGTATTCCAAGACCCGAGAGCAGCACGAGGAGCACCTCAGGGAACTGCTGGAGGTTCTGCGACGAGAACGGCTGTATGCCAAGTTCTCGAAGT